TTAAGGCTGTCGTATGTTTAATTCTTGTAAATGCAGCAGGGACACTATAAAGTAAAAGCTGCAGTCAAATTGACGTCCTTTGAAATAAAATAGGGAGGAGTAAAAAAAGAGAAACTCCTCTTTTACTTGTAGTACATCATATCTATGTATTAAACTGTCCCCTCAATATTCATGCTTTTGTCCCAGTTTTTTTGGTAAAGTGCATGCATGGCTAGCAGGTGCAAAGGCTCTGACAGGTTGCTGAAGCTTTGCAGCCAGAGGCCCCCATCCCTGCTTCCCAGGGCAGTGGGGAGAGATGCTGGGCTTCTCTGGGGCCCTTGGCTCTGCTCTTGGTAGTAAGGAGTTTACAAGGGACATTAGCCCAGCCTCTGTGAATTTTGGTGCATGCAAACAGAGGATAATAGCTCAAGCTCTGGTTTGCTGCTTGTTCCTAAGTTTATGAACTTTAAATTGAAAAATCAGAGCACACTTGAAATTAGTCACTAAAATGTCAAATGATTGAACAGAGATCAGGGTTTTCACCCCAAAAACTTCAGCAGAGACCTGCCTGTATCACAGGTTTCCCTAGAAGATAGCTGAGACCAACCCCAGGCCACCAGTAAGGTCAAATTTAAAATTTAATCTGGTTGAACCTTGAGTGGGAAACAAGAAGTGAAAACTGTCAACTGTGCCCAGATCCATTCAGATCACTTCTAGGGACAGTTTTGATACCAAATTATCCTTGTTATGCAAAGTTCCTCACCAACCGGCTGGTTCCCAGTTATGCATGGGGAGAAGCGGTGGCCACATCTGCTTCCCGTTTTGCCCTTTCGGAGACGAGCCATCTGTTTGGCCTCATCCCGAACAGCCTGCTCGGGGCTGATTAACTTCCTCACCCCCATCAGCCCCAGGCTCACTGTCTGCTGCAAGGTGTAGATTTTTTTTCTACTTTTTTTTTTTTTTCTTCTTTTTTCTTCCCTAACTGCTCATAAACCAGAACCTTCACTTCTCTCCCAAGGGACAGGAAGGCGTTGGTTTGTGTGATTTGCAGCCGTCACCAGTGGTAGCAACAGCAGCAGCTACCCTCTATCATTCACGTTTCATACGTGTGGTCAGGACAGATAAAACCAGGAATTGTTCTATGTCCTGGGATGGTCTTTAAAGCAGTGGCACCTTCCTTTATACAAAAAGAAAAAAAAAAAAGTTGTAATGTTAAATGCAGCAGAAGTCTCACTGCAGTTAACAGGGATCTGTTCATTTAGCAAGAGTCACGCTCACTGCAGCCTTTTTTTTGTTTAAATGGGATGAACTCCTGCCATCTGAAGCCTGGCTTTGGATTTCTCACTCCCATTTTCAGTGAAACTCTGTAAAAGTTTGTCCCTCCTGTTTCCTGCATAACCATGTTTTGGCCATTATAGCAGGATTTCAGAAACTCTGCATGTCTGACTGTGCCAGTGACTTCAGTCAGAATTGCATGTTCAGCAGCCCTGAAAAGTCAAAGTCTGTGGGCCCAAAATAAAGATGCATCAAAAATTAAAATTTAGAAACTGGAATAATGGACCTCCTGTTAAGATTAACATTTCTGTTGCCTTCCACAGGCCAGGTTTAAGGAATTTTTGTTTTTCATGTTTCCATTGGGCCAGAATTTGTTCTCATGTACCATTTTCCTTCCAGAAAAAAAGCTGCCCATGTTTCATGCTGGTGGACACTACCTGGTTGGCCCATAACTGGGAAGGATGCCCTGGAGTTCTGACCCACAAGACAGGCATGAACAGTTTTTTCAGAAATAAGACATTTTGGTTTTCCAGTTGCCACGTTTTCAGCTTTCAAACTGTCAGTACCGCTGCTGAAACTTGAAGCTTTCAGTGAAAGCTTTTCCTTTATTTTTGACCATTTCACAAGCAGCCAAAAGCAGTGCAATATCTTCAGTACACTGGCAAAGTCAGGAGCATTTCTAACCCCTTTTCCCCAAATAAGATGTTGAATGATTCACACACACACATCAAAAAAATAGGAAATTGTGACATTATCAGGTCTGCATGCTCCAGATCTGGCTCTGAGTTCTCGTTTTGGTATCTGCTAAAAGGATCATGTATGTTTTAGTATATTTCTTGATTTCAAAAGCATTGGTTGTTGAGCACACGTTAACACTATTTTGCTGTTTAGATGCTTATGTATGGACTGGGAAGCCTTTCTGGGGACTCGAGGCTGAAAATAATCACCCCTGCTTGTTGTAGGTTTTGTCTGTGTAACAATTTGTATCGTGGTACCTATCACAGTTTCTGATGTAATATAATCAAGCTATTGGAAAGTATAAAGGAAAAAGCATAAATATGATGATTTGAAGGAAGTCTTTGAAACGTGGTGCCCAGGACAGATGCCCAAAATAGATTTTGAGGGACACAATCTTGCATTTAAATCTGTGGATGTCTCTACTTTGGTTCAAGAAGAGTCACCTGCTGACACAGAAATTTGTAATTTGTTTCATTTACTTAGAACTAGCTATGATGGGGAACAAAGGAATTAGGATGTTAGTTCCTTCTTTCAGACAACTAGTTATAATTTATGACAAAACCATATCACATAAACTTAAGGAATATTTAGATTTTGGAAACTTGTAGAAGAATTAATTGCAATACCATTAGAGTTTGTTTCGGGTTTCTTTTACTATTTTTTAAAATCTCATTTTGTTCATAATAATACAGTTTTACAAATGGAAATATTTTTAAAACTATATAAATGGTGCTTTTTTTAAGCAAAACACTGATTCTTGTTTGCATTAAATATCTGATGTGAAATTTAATGTGCTGGAATCTGAAGGGACGCCCACAGAGAAATCACCTTTGTTAAGGCAAATAGTAGAAATAATTTCTCTATGTTTTATTTTGAATTACCATGATTCTACATGCAGAGGTAATTGTGTTCTGTAATGACTGTGTCTGGTTGGTGGGAGGGAAAGGTAAGAGGAGAGGGCTGGAGAGGAAGCAACCATCTCAAAGTCAGCTGCTCACAGGAGCTGCATGTGTTTTTTGGACAGGGACACTCGAGGTAGCAGGTAGCAAGTTTAGGACTTGATCTTCAGCTGGATAAGCAAGGCTGCCTCATGTAGGTGGTGAGCACGGGGTGATGACAGAGCCTGGCTTTTTCTGGCCCCGAAGGATGGGTTGTGAGGACAGCATGGATGGACTCCCCATGGAGTGGGGTGTGGGTACGGCAGTGGTGGCTGAGGCCCCGCTCAAGGCTCAGTGCTCCCTGAGCCCACAGAGCTCTGTGTGCCTGCACCTCACCTTGCATTGTGCCTCCCCTCACAGTCACCACCCCACAGACACAGGGCCTCCGGCTGTGCCCAACGACTTCATCACCCACAAGCAGAGTGAGAAAAGGATTCAGGGGTTTGGGGTTTTTTATCTTGTTCTTTTGTCTTAAAAGATGCATCTCACTTTGCAGACATAATTTAATAACATTTTCAATTTTTATGAAATTTGCTTTTTTTTTTTTAAATACAATATTCTCAAAGAAAAATGAAGTTACAATATAAAACCACAGCAAAAAAAAAAGGTGTAAATACAACTTTTCTATTAGAAAAGGCAGTGCATGGGGAAGGACTGGGAAGCAGTCATTTTTTACTTTTAAAAACATACATAAACTTAAAGCCACTCACACATTTACTCCTTTTAAATTTCAGCTAAGCTATATCAGGGTATTGCACCATAGCAAAAAAAGAGAAAAAGGGAGGTTACACTAAACTAGTTTTCCGAGGGCGCAGTTTGTTTCGATGTACACAGACACAACATCCTATTTTCATGGCATCCTTTCATATGTTCATAAATAAAATTATTGAACCACTTGTTTCAAAACCAATTGAAGATGATTTTGTGCAAAAGAGAAAAAAACACTGGAAAAAACAAACCTAAGAAAGCCCTTTTGTGAACAGAGAATGCCATTTGCTCCTACCCTTAGACTATGCCCTCTCATACACTGTGCCTTAATATACTTATTTATACTACTGTACTGTTTAATATACAACATCAACATATTCTCTTATAGTATAAATAAGAAAACTCTAGAGCCAGGAAACAAACCCACTGTGACTGACAGTGCATCATCATGTCATATAAACCATTTTAGATCTATATACAAATACATATGTATATAAAATATTAATGATACACAAAGCCACAGACAGGGCACGTGCATGTCAGCAAGAGAAGTGACACAGAGACTCGGACACGTGCATGTGTGCACAGAGATGTTGTGAAGGCAGCAAACCTACCCAGTAATTAGAAATCACATTTCAAAGCCATGTTTGAGGCAGTCTTAAACTCCACTGGAGCTGTGCTTGTTTACATGGTTCATGAACGTGGCATTACTTGTGTTAGATTTTGGTAAAAGCAAAGAAACAAAACCACCTGAGTAGGCTTCTGTTCCCCTCCCCTTTATAGCCTGGTGTCTCTTAAAATAAGGGGTTAAAAAAATTATGGCATGGGGTATATATAGTGACCTAAATCTTAGAAGAGCAGGAAAGAGGTGTAAGAGCTATAAAAGCAGAATGTTTCTGTACAGCCAATGTCTGATCTCACATAGGGCGTTGCAGCAGGGCTGGGAAATTACTTTGTCCCCTCTTGGTTGGTATTGATCAAACTTGGAGCGGGGTAAGAACAGCTGAATATATCCCTACCAGTTATAAAAAATGAATCTGTTTCAACTGTATTTAAATAGAAAAAATTATTAATGGAAACTCATTGAGTAAGGCCCCCCCCCCCCTTTAAAGGTTCTCTTCAGGTTATTTCTATACAAAATATTTGATAATACCTCTTTGCCAGGTACAGTCTGTCTTGAAGCTGAATGTGTAGCAGGCATTGATGACAAAACCATATCTAGGGCATGAAAGTGAACAGCAATTCCTTGTGCCCACCCCCTTCACAGCATCTAGGGCTGGAAGGCAACAAGAATAAAGTCTCAGCTGAGTTATAATGTGGGAGTGGAGGGGGATCAATAAAGGCAACAGGGGGACCTCTTAAGGCAACCGAGGTATAGTGTAGGAATGGAGGGGATCACCTTTCGGTCTGTAGTTTATATCACTCATTTTTGGGAGATTATTGGCCATCCTGTATGTATGAGCCCACCTAACGTGCTAGTGATGTGTTCTCACTGCTGTGGGTACATGCACCAGGTCTGGGGACATTCAGACACAGCAGTCACATCTGGTGACAAAGCTGCTGAACTGTCAGTGACACATTCATTGTAAGAACACTGCTGTGCCCACGTGTCAGGCGAAGCAAGCTGGCATGAACTGTCATGAAAAGCTAAGGCGTGTATAGCATGCCTTATATAGCATATAGAAGCATATATTTGTAATTCGTTATTTCATCAGTATCTTTCCTCTAGCTTCAGTGTTGTTGCTCCTGACTTACACCTGCAAAAGTGAAAGCAGAAGAGGGAACTCTGTGTGCCTGTAATAGTATGTGTACATAGGAAATGTGCATCAAATATAGCTACAAGTATCAGGCCACTCTGGCCTAGATGCAAGCATGGTCCCATCAAATCTTTTTTATAATAAACAGATGTACTTGCATACACTTATGAATGGAAAATGTGCAAATGTATGACAAAACTGCTAGTCTTGTAGGTTATTTGATTGTGTTTATTGCAAAATATCCAGCTATTATCAGAGTGGAAGTATTTATACATTAAGTTACTAAGATGGGTTATTTTTATGGATGTTGCCCAGGAAGTATTGTAGCACTGATGATAGATTTTTATGCAGCTGCAAAAATTTCTTTTTTGCCCAGTCTTAAATTACGAGGGTGTTCAGGGAAAGAAAAGAAATATTTGGAAGAGGAAGCTAAGTAGCAGCTTTAAAAAAAAAGTAATTTTTAAATATCAGCTGTGTTTGGGGTTAAAATCTATTTGCCATAGAAATTTTGATTATAACTGAAGATAAGAGTATCTGCAGCAGAACCCACCACGGAGGAAGCTTTTGGTGGACCTTGCTGCACCCTGCAAAGTGCTGCAGTCTCTGGTCTCCCTTCTGCAAAACCCACCATATTTTTAACCTTAAGATTAGTTCCATGAAGTAAAAGTAACTCAAAGCAGGTAGTGAAATGACTAAGTGAATAGGAAGTCAAGGTTCTCAGCACCTTTGTGGGGCTTGGTCCCTCATGAAATGGCAAATGCCAGGAAAAAAGAAGGCGGTTGCAAATTTTGACTGGCTGGGTTAATTCATCTGAGTGCTTTAAAAATAATTAAGTTCAACACTTATGAGTAAAGCCACAAAATCTACAAGAGGACATCTTCTGTGCAAGCAAAACGGGATTTTTTTATATGTAAGAGAGGGATATTTGGGTATTTTCCAGACAGTTTAAAAAGATGAAAAATGTGCATAAGGAGACTTTCCCCACACATATATCTATCTAGTGCTTCTTTCAACTGTACATCATACTTTTCTAAATAACTGAAACTTTAAAAAGAAAGAAAAATTAAATACATTGTAACTTGTTTATGCAGAGAGAGGAGGGGTTGCTTAACAAAAAGTGGGGTTTTATTGGATAGGAAGGGAAAATATTTATTCAATGAAGAGCCAACAATACCCTTTTTCTATACATTAAATGCAATTTATACTTCACAGAGTATATTACAAGGGTGTTTCTTCTTTCTTTCACATTCCTGCCCACCTGCCTAGTGACACAAAAAGCATGTTGTGATGTCAATACCAGTAGCACCCTTGCAGGTGAAAACGTTCTACTTTTTACCACCAAAGCAACTCAGAACCTTCTGGCTGGGGCTCCCTTCCCACCCCAGCTGTCCGTGGAATCATCTGAGATGGGCCCCTCCTTCTTTTCTTGAGTTCAATCTTCCTGAAAGAGTCAAATAATACCAGGAAGTCAAAAAACATACATCTGGTAGAAGAGCCCAATGCTCAGGGTGTTAAGAGAGAAAGCTTGGCCACTCCTGCCTGTTGTGTCCTTGTCGTGTGGTGCATCCTTGGCGTGGTTAACAGTTCTGGCAAGGGAGGTTTGCAAGAAGCATCAGTTAAGGGAAAGGCTTTCAGCTATGTGACTACAAAAGCTCCTACTTACATTACTAAAGGTTTTTGGTGATCAAACATTTTCAGTAAAAACTCATTTTAGAAAACTGAGTTGCAATGCATGCTACCAAAACGAAATCTCTTTTCTTGTGAGAAAAAATTGCTGAACTTCTGATTCTCTTGTTACTTTTACTGTCCAGCTGACTTGTGCTTTGTTGCTGTCATGGCTCTTGCAGCTCCAGTAACACAGCTGTTGAGGCTAGATCTGTGCCAGAGGAGTTCTAACTCATGTGGAAACGGTGCTCCCCTCGAGTTATGTGGGAAGAGAATTCATACCTGTCCTGGCTATGGTAGCCACACATGTTGCACTCAAAAGGATCGCGGAACCCGTGGCAACCCATATGGATTGTATACATCACATGATCCAAGAAAAGGACTCGACAGTGTTCACACTTGTAAACTTTCACTTGCTCCCCATTGCTGCTGATCACTTTGAAAGCATCCTGGGAATTGTCAGTACCTGCTCTCAAGACATCATATTGCCTGTTTTCTTCTTTTATAGAGATGCCATTTCTTGCATGGGGACCTATATGGTTTGTCAGGTAGATCAAACCACTGCGCTCCTCATTATTGCTCTCGGTATCTGTTGAGTCTTGGCAGCTGTTGCTGGGAGAGGCGTCTCGTTCGGAGGAGACAGATTTGGCTTTGGAAAGCAACAATAAGTTTTCCACTGCACTGTCCTGAGGAAGGTTGGAGCGAACCTGACTGTCCCCAAGAGGTTTGTGGAGCTGATACATGGGGCTGATGACAGGCACCACCTCAGAACCCCCTGGTGGTGTCTGGACAAGGGGACGCAAGGACTCTGCCCCCAGGTAACTGATGGCATTATTAATGGCCTGGTCGATAACGTGCGTCTGCATAATCTCGTTCTCTTTCTCATAGTTGGTGGTGGCATCGTATGGAAGGTCAGGCAAACACTTTTCACCTGCAGTGAAAAACAGTGAGAAGTCAGACGGTTGATTTCTACAAAATTAAGTAACTGCACATCATGGATTAATAAAACATGGAAGAAGAGAGTTGACCAAATCCACCTCTGAAATCCACCTGAGGTATTCACAGTTCTCTAATACAGCCAGGTAGGAAAATGGTGGGTTGGTGGGGTTTTTTTAGCCTGCTAAATAATCTGAGGGCTTTGGAAAAGCAAATGGATGAAAAACAAATTCTGGAAATAATTATATGGGACTCAGGGGCGCTACAGACCAAGTGCTTCATCCTCTCTTTCTTATTTCTAACTGGAGTCCCTACAGTGAGCTGAGGCATTGTCTTTGTAGTTAGTAAAGCCAGTGCACCAGCACAATCGCAGTGAGCCTGGCCTCCATGCTTCAGAGCATGAAGCACATTATCAATATTTTTCCCTAAAGTATTGCATTCTTAGACTGGAAATTGTATGTTTTAGTTTTAGACCTTCAGTTTCTTAGAAATAACCCACATTGCAATGTGGTCACACGTCATTTTAAAGAAAAAATCAACAAAAACTTTACATTTTGTACTGCCACCACCCCTCCACACCTTGTTTTTAAATAAGCCATGTTAGACACATTACCCTATCTAGAGCAAGATTACTTGTTACATGTAACTTGGATGCCAAAAGTAAGGGGAAATCTTTAACTTTTTTAAAATCAGACCGCACTTATGTATCTCTAGCTGGATACCCTAGTATTGAACACAAGTTTCACCACAATTTCCCCCAAATTCCTGGACCCACAGGACTAAGCAAAACATAGAAGCAAAAGTTAGGAGTGGAAGAAACTACTGAAATGCACAGATACTGATTTTATGAACTTAAGCAGTCTTCTCAAACAGTGTAAATCATCAATGTTATTATCAGGCCTCTAATAAATTTATGCAAATGAAAAAGGGTAAAAGATTTCCACAGATTCCTGTAGTCTACTAATAAGAGAATGTTTGTAGTCTGGATGGATTTTCTAGCTCTGCAGATCTTGGGAAACACTGAAAGCCACAAACATCTCTATGTGCTGTAATTATTTCCTGATCAATATGAAATTTGCTGGTAGGTCTCACAGAGTCCTAATTTGTCGAAAGAAATGCTAGCAGAAGCATGGAAAATTTACCAGAAGGTCTGCACATTGTTTTATCAATAATTTCCCACCCAGTTTCTACTCAAATTGACTATCCAAGGTCAGTGAAGAGCACAGAAACCTTTTAGCATGACACTATTGCAAAGATGGGGACCAAAGTGTAGGAAGTCCTTCTGTCCATATTTCCCACATGATATGGTTTCATACTAGTTTGTCCATGCTCTGCAGGCAGAGAAAGAAATACTCTTAACATTGTGTAAGTTCCTATACGGGATGTAGGGTACAGACACCTTCTAGCTGTGCTGCATAAGCTTCCCGTTCCTCTTGTTTTCTTTCCCAATCATTCTGCCAATTTGAGAAGCCCTTTACTGGACTGTATTCTTTTTTCTTCAAGATTTACCCTTGATAGTTTTCAGGCAGAATTTGATGCTTAAGATTCAAAATAGGCATTGTGAAAGACTCTTGAATTAAATACAGAAAACCCTTCCTAATATGAATTTATACACTTGATTCAAGGAGGATAAAATGAGGCCAATATCATTTATATTCCATGGGCACTGCACACCACTGAAAAGTGGGACTGGGCTTCATTATACATGCAATTTTGGGCATCCAGAAGGCATGATTTTAATATATGTTTCTTGGGTAGTATTTGCTTTATGTAGCATAACTAGTTGGTAGTTGGCCTGAGAGGATCAAGTGCTCATGAGAAAAATTTGTTTCCAAGCGAAGTGTCTGAAACAGACACAAACCTAAGGTAGGCAGGTACCATTTCTATATCTGGGCAATGCAGGTAATACTTGCACTCATTAAAAATAATAGCTCATTTCTGTGGTTATTAGAGCATAAGTAAATTAAACTGCTAATGGTTTGATGCGCTTCAAGTTTTGCACTGCTCAGGATTCTGAAGCAAGTACTTAAAAGGTAAAAATGCATTCAGTGCACATGGACACCATTTTTCTTAGTATTTTTTAATCCCTCTCTTTTCTTAGCTGCCTATTTTTTAAAACACGATAACCATGTGTCAACCTTTCATGCAGTTCTGATCTGGGTTTGGATGACTCAGTTCTGCTTTTGGGTCTGGGAGCTATTCCATTTTGGAATACAGAGAGAATTTTACAAGTAACTGGCTGAATTTGGTGAACAATCTCACTTTTGAAAGGTAGTGAATTCAGTCTTGAGAAAAACCTAGTAAAGCAGAAGAAAGTCCTTCCCTTATGTGAAGGATGCCCTTTGCTCCTTCTCCCTGGGATTGGGAGCAATAAACATGTCTTACTACCCAAAAACTCTACTGACCAGCTGGCCCAACCTTAAATTAATCATAAATGTACCTATTACATGAAGCAGCAGGTGAGGACTGGAAAGGAAAGGATTTGGGGGCATTTTCTTGTCAGGAAAGTTTGCCCTGTTGAAGGTTAGCAAATTTCCATAAATATCTGCTGTCAGTAGGTTGTCTTCCCACACTGCACGCTGAATAACTAACCGACAGGAAACTCTGCCCTTCTAAAACTCATAGTTAAACTGGCTTTCTTTACTGTTTCTTGGGGTGAAGAGAGAAAAGGAGAATGATACAGCTAGTCCACACCCACAGATACGCTGCATATAGGATACTTGCTAGTACCTTTTAAAGTTTAACACTTCTGTTCTTCCTGGAACTTTCACAGAATTAGTATTTTGCCTGATGCAATCAGTTACTAGAGTGTCTAAACTAATATGGTTTGCCTCACACAGTTGACATATTTTGGTAACTACCTCTACTACAACTTTTGTCCTGTTATAAGCATTTTTTATCCTTGACTACCCCTCCTGGAATTGTTGCCTTTGGACTTGAAAAAAAAAATTGGACTTTATTTTAAAACATTTTGTTGCACCTCCTGATGTAGCTGAGATTCCTTTTTCTTTTTCTAGGAAATACTAATTTTCCTTTCAGACTTGTGTCCTTGTTGAATAAAGTGTATTTACATTTTCTGTCCCACAAACTGGTCTTTTTTTTTGCCTTGACTTTTGACTGAAGACTTTCTCAATGCGTGTTTTGTTTCAAAGACTTTAGTTTTATCTGATTGTCTCCTATAAAACAATAGTATAAAAGAATATGCAGAGAATTATGAAAGAATCTAACTGGGTATGAGTATATGGTGTCCTCTGATTTCCCATGTTTTTATTTATTTAAGACTAACCCTCCACAGCTGACAAAATCTTGTCTGTGGGTCTCACAAAACTGGTGTAACCACTGCTTAATAAACAGAACAATATATGTGGAGCCTTCATTTTTATAGGCATGACATCAAAATTTTCACTGTTAAGACAGGAACTACTAGGTGCAAATGGGCATGAAGATTTTGCATCATTCATAAAAGTATCCAAAGATCTTTTCATTTAGGTATTTTTCTCAGACATATCCATGATCATTTTGGGCTTTAGAAGTATACAGACTTTATCAAAGGATGAAGAATATTACCCACTCTATGTTAAACTATTAACAAACACTTTCAGAAACACCAATATGCCCAGATCTGAACGTTATCCAAGAATTCAATAAAATAACTCTGAAAGTGTGGTCAAATGCTATCCCAACAGGAAACTTCTATTCCTATCTTTGGGTTCTTAAGGCAGCTTTAAGAGCCTGTCGAGGTCTTGTAATGATCTGGTTCATAAACTTCTAAAAAGGCAGGAAAAAGATTTAAATTTCATCTCCAGATGTGGAAAACTAAACATGCAGAAATATATGCTGGAGATATTTATTTGTTTTTTTTTTTCCCCCAACAAATCTCTGTATCTGATTCTGTAGAGATACATACTATTAATTTATCAAACCAAGTAAAACCATAAAGCAAAAGTAAAAATCTTGTACTATTTTTGGGGGGCTTGTTTTGTTTTACTTTTTAGGAGACAGCAAACGTTTAACTCTTACCAACAAATTTCTGAGGCATAGAGCTCTTACGTTTGGCGACGTTACTTGCTAGTCTATCCAGCACGAGGGCTCTTTCTGACCCTATCTTGCACAGGTCTTCAGCCATTTCACTCTGGTTAGTTTCCTCTTTTATGACTGAAATCAAATGACATCAGAAGCGTTAGGCAGGCTTGTTCCATTTTAATGGAACTGTTGTCTTCAGGTTATTGTTTGTCAGTCCATGTCTTTTAGCTCCCAAGCAGCTGGATGAAGGAGCTCACCATATCAGACACAGGACAGTTCTGACTCTTGGTGACAAAGTCCCTCATACTGATTAATCTACATACATATTCACGTTTCCCTCATTTAGGATACAAAAATGAGATAGCAACTGTAAGGTTTCTGCCTGTACGTCATGCAATCATTCCACCCTTGTTCTACAGCCACCCTGCATTTCTGTGAATAAATGAGGCCCTAACATTACACTGGACATGAAGCAGCTTATTGCTTCACCCCCCCCGCTGACACCCCCCACTGTCCCTCTGCACCTCTCCGAGTGAAACCACTTGTCTTCTTTAGCAGGAAAAATGGATAACTTCTCAACTCCAGCAGTGGAATGTATATTTGCAAGCTACACCAACCCTTCTCTCCAGCCCCTTTTTCCCCTAGCAAATATTTAGATACTTCCTTGATGCAATTTATATTTTAAATAACCATTTAAATTGATAAAATCACACCTACAGTGGAACACTGACTTCCAATACTCAAACCTGTTTCCCAACCTCCTGCTGCTGCTGAGACACTGTAGAATTAGGAGCTTAGCTGTGAGGCTCTAGGAAAAGAAGACTATTTCACTTTCACTATATTTTACTTCAGTATTTTCCTGCAGAAACAAAAGGGATGTATGAAAATGCACTGTCAAAACAATGACTATGAAAAATGCATGGAAAAGTGTTTCTGACTTTGAGCATCTAAAGGGAAGGTGATATGTAGTGAAATCAGAGTACAGCTGTTTTGTTGGGGTTTGGTTTTGCTTTTTGCTTTTTGTTTGGTTGGTTTTTTGTTTTGTTCCTGTTGTTGTTTGTCAAGGCAGAGAGAGGGGTTAATTTTATTTTTACCTGCTACTAAGATATGGACATTTTTCCTGAACTTGTGAGTTTCTATTAAAGGAAGAAGCAAAAGATGATTTTTAGGCTTTGGTTCTTCAAGCTGTTTCAATTAGGTGCCCCGCTCTGCTACATTTTGCCTTCTGTGCCTGCTGAGAATTCCTTTTATCACTGGATTTACTGGTTCACAGAACCCATTACTCTGGTACCTAGGTGTTTCTCAATAGTTGAGAACACATTGTTCTAATGCAATGTTATTCTGACAATATACCACAGCCATAAAAGGATGATTGTGAAAATTTCACTGTCCCTGAAATATATGAAATCAGGGTCTGGTGGATAACTGTGAGAAGCAGGTGAAGTGTCCCAGACAACACCACCCTGCAATACCAAACTGAAGAGTACACAAGTGGTTCTTGAGTCCCTGCTGCAGCAGAACACACTACAGTGATAGTGACAATGACAGTGACAGGGAGTCTCAGAATTATGCCCCAGTCCCACAAGACACTAAAGGTTGTGACCAATGTAAGAAATGAGCAGAATTTGGTCATGAAGCTGCAGAAGAATAAAGGGTGTTGATGGTACATAGTCATCATCGAACAAGCACACACCAGAATCTTGTGCTGACCAAGGCTTCCAAGTGCCACCTCAGGAGGAGACTTACAGAGAATGTTTTAAAGCCAACATTTAACAGGGAAATAAAAGACTGATTTTTTAGTTAAATGTTGAAATGATCAAGAAATATTTGTTTAGAATATAATAACATTATGTTTCTAATCAGTTCAAGAGAGGATGAATCATGTATTCAACAGTCAAACTTTCACACTTTTAAAACTGCTATTAAAAAAAAGGGCAAATTGTATTACGTACTAATATCCAGCATTTGCAACTGAAAACTCCTGAAATTTGCTACCAACTGGAAAACTATTTCTCTGTAATTCGGTATCTGTGAACTGAAAAAAGTAAATAATTTTATCTTTTCAAATTAATATTCCCAAGTGACCGAAGAACCATAATTGACCTTTTTTAAACTTCATAAACTATTTCTTCTGTTATTTTACATAAGCCTGGTAAGACTTCAGCACACTTCCACTCAACTCAAACGTAAAACTCCAGATAATAACTCTAAGAGATGAACTTCACAAGGACAGTGAGATTCTAGTCCTCTAAAATAAGAATTTTGCCATTAAATTCATCAGGTTCCAATTTTGTGATGCATTTCCTTCTCTCAAAGAAAGAAAAGACAAGTTAAAATATAAACACAATCTCTCGTTCCCCTTTTTACTCCTTTTTGCTCAATCTTTATTTAATTTCTTTCTCAATTGTATTTTTAGATTTATAAGCTGATGGAAAACTTCTACTAGTTTAGGTCCTTTCAACTGACATTTTTACCTATGTATACTGCAAAAGCTGTTTTAAAATGCTGTTAAAAGCAATCTTGCTGCGGCAGAATGTCAAATCAGACACTCTAGCAGATTGTTGTTATCAACTTTTTTGAGTCTGGGGGAAAAATGGCCCGAATAATGGCTCTAATAGATCCACATCACACCTTGAAATATTGTAAGAATGGTGGCAGTATAGCTACTTGCTTTTCTAGATATAACACAGAATACACTAGAAGTCCAAGAAAGACACCCAGTCATTCTCTACTTTTTCTTGTATATTTTCTTCATGCAAAATACTAGGAAAAATGCAGGAAAGTTTCATGTTCTAGAAATGTAAAGAACTGATTCATTAACTGAGTACTAAATTTTTTTTAAGAGTGAAGTCCTTCACTGGATATAAGGTCTAAAACCGGAAGTTAATACTTTAATTTTTTTTCTAATTTGCAAAAGCAGTCCTTATTACATCAAATATGGATTTACAAGATACAAGAAAAAAGTGAGTCTTTCAAAGCATTAATGAATTCCTCAAGTTTTCATCCCACTAAGATAAAAGATATTAAGCTGTAAGCTACTGCAAGCTCTCCTGTCATGATTTGATATAAGCAAAGGTCCATCTCTAAAACTATTAAAGTTTATGATTCCTGACACCAGTTTCATCTGGGCATTTTTCCTACTAAGACTTCAGTAGTAGTTCAGCTACTCATTTTCATGTTCTGTGTGCAGGTATTCAAATCCACATGCCAGACACTGAAGACTGAAATCCTAAAACAAAGTATTTGCTTCTAAATCATGTCACCTCTTTGAGGAGAAAGTATTGCTGCCTACCGTATATTACACTGAGCTTTTCTATTTATACATTCTCCAGCCCCTCAATAAAATTAGAAGGGGCGCTGCTCTAACACGCTGTCTGCCAAAAGCATCTCAGCTGTATTCACTGCTATTATTATGTGCATATACTTTACATTATCTGATAGCATGTAAAAACATATTCAGGTTCTGTCCAGATATAAAATACTAAATGAGGCATAATTACAAATAAGGCAGAGAGAACCTTCCATTTTTGTCATTTGACAAACCAAATAACATATACTGACAGGATGAAAAGAGTATGCAGGAAATGGAACTTACTTAAACTCCACTACAGAAGCTGGATCTTCTCTATCTAAAACTGCATATATGAGGGGATTTTGTATGGCTAATTACTTGGATGGATCCCATACAGATCTCTAGGATCTTTGTTAAAAAATATAATTCAAGCCCCAATACCTGCTTGCTCTATTTCTGGGCATAGTCTTAGAGTTGATATTTTCCTAGAAATGGACTTTACCTTCATCATAAAACTAGTCTCTTAGGGAAGAACAACAGGGCCTCACCTCCCCCCAGTTTTCTTTTAAAGGGGAGGTTGGGAAGAAGGTTGTCAACAGATTATTAACATTTCTGGACTGGCTCAAGTCAAACTGCCTAAATTAAATGCCTCTGGCTTCATGTCCTCTTGCTTGGAAGAGTGAGATCAAAGACAGATTTCTCATCCTTGTTAGATGAGTTGGTCTTAGTGGTCAAGTGAGCCCTTTAAGCCATGCCTAGAAAGGGAAGGAGATGTGCAATGCAGAAGATTCTGCAACCCTACCCAGAACACTGGCATTAAGTTTCTATTAAAAATATATCCACAAGAGTATTGCAATATAGGACTCCAAGCAAAAGTGGTGAGGTGATGTAGTCACACTGTCTTGAAATGACGAACTGATGTTTTCCAGGTCTTGCAAGGGTTTTGCTACGTTTGAATTGTACTTTGGCTTTTTATTTGAGCTAAACAAAGTGAGACAACAGCTAAACATTTCTCAAAAAAAGAACAAATCCAGATGCAATATCATACATATTGGGGGGGGGGGGTGCCTCCACAATGCCAAAGTTGCCACAAATGGTATTACTGTTCCTTTTGCACTCCTTTTTCTGCACTCGTGACAGGAGAGCGTTATTCCCCAGATGGACACAGTTATTACCTGGATAAATGCTGCTCGAGAGATTCATCGTTTGCAGGTAGTTATGGCAGCGTTCTTTATGTTCTTCCAAAGAGCTGCGCTGCTTATAACTGCGACCACAGTATCCACACTTATGGGGTTTGCCAACTGGAGGAAACACAATCAATTATGAGATTCAGATGAAGTATTCAACGGCGTATTAAAAATGGTAATGACAACAGGAAAAAAGCCCACTCCTAAAATAAAGCCATGCTGTGGTGAACTGAAGAAGGATTTTATCAGTGTAAAAAAAAATCTAAATGAAAACAGAACTAATGGAAAATTAGTGATATATCTTTACATCAACAGGCCAATTCTGTGGGTGCTGCAAGCTGATTTTAGATGATCCACATCAGATAAAGACTGCAACACTAAATCTTTAAAAGCAGCATCTACACAAGTTAGAAACGGAGACACCTTCAAAGGTCTGAAAGTATTTGCTTTATTGTCTGTACCCACAGAGACTGCCAGTGGGGGTGTAGGTAGCGACTTGCCCATGGCTGGATGTCAATTCTGACGTAAAGAGAACCAGCTCAACACTTTTAAGACAATTTTAGATTTTGCATGTTTTCTGTTTCTGGAAATTCAAGAGAAGTGGCATGAAAATTTATGTATTACAGCAATCCAGGTCTAGCTAATTCTAGGAATTTCACACCAATACTGTTTTGTGTACTTTTGGACTTGAATTTTCTGTCTTAATGTGACAAGGCTGTCACCTTACACGTGATTTAATAACTTTAGATGGTTGCACAGTTTAATTTTTGAATTTTATTTACAAATTCTTAGGTGAAAATCAGATTCAGACATCCAACTTGTTTTATAATGTATTGATGTCAATTTACCAATTGCAGGAAATAATCACTATCTACAGTTTATGCACTGTCTCTCCAACTACAGAATCCTCATAGTTTGCTAAAAGTGTCTAGGTGCAATTTCATATACACATATATATATATATAAGAAGAATTATGTTTCAAACTGTGCATCTGTGAAAATCAGTAACAGCAAAGGAGAGGGAGGCAAAATACTGTTTTAAGTCTGTGCTTTCCTCAATCAGGCTGGGACCAAACCAGAGAACTGGAAATTATTTTGGACAGCTGGGATCAACACTAAGGATTTTATTATGTTATTTAATATGTGTGCTAGAAAAGAATTTCCTTAGTTTTGTGCAGCACAAAAACACCACTTTGAGAGCTCTCCTTTTGCCACCCAGAACTTGGTCCCAAAGCCAACTTTCACAAGTAACGTTACCAGCGTCAATTCTAGCAATGTGTATTGGAGGTCTCCCATCCAAGTAACAATTTGCATTTGCAGCTTAGCTTGGGAAACTAGATGAGACTGCAGTCTGCTTTTAAAGGCACTTAAATGTGTTAAATTGGTTTTACTTCACAAAAGGTATGTGACTATGGCTTCTGTCAAACAATGACAGGTTCCTGTTAATGGAAAAGTGCAGCTATTCAAAAATATTTACTCATATCCATATTACTGTTGAGACAAGACACTAAAAATCTCCATCATAGTCCCCTTTTGTGGAAGATTATTATCTTTCTTTCTCCCACCCTCTCCCTTCTCCACACTCTTTCTCTTTAAAAGTATGTGTAATAACAAGGTGCAACAAATAATGCTGTAGGTTGTGTTCACTCCTTAGGTTGAGGATGACTACCAGACTGTGTTTCAACTTATATATTATCTCTTACCCTAAAACGTTCATCAGCTCTAACTCATGTTCGTACTTCCATGAAATGGATTACTCACATAAGTCTTGTAAGATGAAACCCTAATACAGAAACTTTGAATCATCCAAGAAGTATGGGAAAAAAACCAGGTCTTCTGGTGAAGGGTCATGAAGATGTGTTTAGTCATTTCTTTGCTGCTAACACACTGTGGCCAGCTCACAGCTTGGTTAACCCCAAGATGGGGCTCTGTGCCTCTGCAGGATGAGAAGACCTTAGTGGCCACCCTTATCGCCTCGACAGGGGTGCTGATGAGCACCCCTGGTTAGTCCCATACCTTCACTTACCTGAGTGAGTCCTCAGGTGTCCCGTGAGGGCATCCCTGCGACGGCAAGCGTAGTTACACAGGTGACACTTGAAGGGCTTTTCACCTGAGTGCAACTTTATGTGGCGCAGAAGGTTGCCCTTCTGTGTAAAGGAGGCTCCGCACTGATTGCACTGGAAAGGGCGTTCTCCTATGGGGAGAAGAGGAAAATACATGAGAACAAAAAAGTCTTACACGGTAACAAGAGAAAGATTTCAGTGAGAAAGTTGTTTTCTCACTGCTGCTCTGTGACTTCCACCGGCTGCAGGTTTGATATAACATGAGGCTTTCAGACTAAACCTGCCAGTTTCTTAATGCTTCACTGGCTGGGTCAATTTGATCTGAAAATCTAATTTTTTTTTTCTAAATCAGAATGGCACATCACAATGCAAATTCAAACTCATTTAAATAAAGTGACTGCAACATTTTGTGTTGAAGAGCCACTCTTCCTGATCAGCAGTTTTGGAATAAACCAATATCCAATTTTGCATGTTGTGGCATTTGGTGGGGTTTTTAATGTGGCTTTTTTCAAAGGGTCTTTAAAATATGCCACTGAAGCAGCAAAATAAAAAGGAAACTCATTAAAAATGCATTTCAGGATCACAAGTTCATTTCAGCGTTACATTCTTATATTTAAATGAAAGGCACTTCATTATAACAGTTATAATAACTTCTTTTCATTTACATTTTCCCTGTATTTTCCCTTTCAATTTCTTCTCCATTACCTGTCTGTCCCTAAGCAGCCAAATCAGGAAAGAGACAGAGAAAAGAGAGAAAGAGAGAGAGCAAAATCACAGAAGTTAAGACAGTGCAAAGGAAGCCCTGTACTTCCATGCCAAAGTCCCAATCCTTCTCTAGGTAAGGTATGAACAGAGGAGCTGCCCAAATAGGCTCTGATGGTCCAAACTTTGGACAGACATGGGGAAAAACTCAGAGACACAGCCTTGATTTTTCTAAGTTGGTGCCTGTTATGAAGGAAATGAATCAATGCCTTTGCAAAAATTAACATGGCCGTTGTTTGCTTTTTAGTGCTGTTTAAAATCAATATGCTCATTTATTAGTTTGTGGTGGGTCTTTTTTTGTTTTCTTTCTGGTTGGTTTTTTTTTTAAATTAAGATGAATGAAGCCTTTGCTGAAATGAGTGGGAAATAAAATATGTTTCCAGTTATACCAGACAGAAACTGCTTCTGCATGCCTGTTTCTCCATAGCCCTCAACTAAGACAAACCAGGCTTTGAAACTCATTTGCTGAATTCTGTTTCTCTTAAGCATAAATTTAATCTGCTGTAGTAATTATAATGCAATAACCATATTAGAACCAGCCCAGAGATGACCTGTTTTTAGTTTTGATTTTATTTGCATAACAATAACATTGTATTTAAGATTTCACACCTGAAGTTAAAATATATATTAAAAAAAAGTTAACTTATTTCTTTCTTCTCTCTCACTTAACCATCATGTATTATTTTGAACACCTAGGATCAACTTTTATGTCCATACATGTGAATATATATGCAGTGTGATCATGTCTGACTTCTGGATAATGCAGCAGAAGAGCTGAAGATCGGTTAGACAGCAGCACAATCCCAACCCAAAAATCTGAAAACCCTGTCATCAGGGCTGGCAGCTTTAGCATTCAGCAAACAGTAAAATGAATTCACTTTATGATAAGATATTTTCACTGGTCAAACAGTTTCAAGCAGGAAAGCATAGTCCCCATCAACCCAAATGAGCTCATTTTCTTTGTCCATCAAGTAGCTGTAAACTATGTCCACAACTGGTTCAGCTGCGATGGCCTACAAAAATGCCAGCGTAGGCCTTACAGGACTTTGCAATGTGCTTCATAAGCCATGCACAGTAGTGGCTAGGGAAAAAGAAAACAGGTAAGTATCTCTCTGCTTTGTGTCTTAATCTTTGGGGCAGTTACTCAGCATGGGAGGTATTTTTCAGAAACAGGCTGAAACAGTGATGAAGAAGTCAGTGCATCATGGGGGACACAAATTCAGAAGAAATGGTTAATTCTTACTAATCAGCTTTTCTAGCATTCATTTTTGCTATTTTTATTTAGAGGAGCATAAGAGGAGAAAACGAGGATTGTAAAAGTAGTCCTGGAATGAAATGCAAAGCAAAGTAAGAATGAAATGTATCTCTAGACTACAGGTCTCCCAATTATAGGCTGAAATCTTGTGTTGGGTGAACAAGACAGATGGAGCATTTAAAACAAGACTGCTGCATGCCAAATATTTCTACAAAACTTACAGTGGAATCAAATATAAGGGAGCCTGCACCCATGCTGCTGTACAAGAGAAACAACATCACCACTGAAAGACCCTGAAGAGTTACATGTATCTTGGCTGGCCCTTGGCTGTCCTTGCTGCAACTACCAGGATGGGGAATGCCTGTCTTGTAAGCCCAGCAAAGGCTCCCTGACCTGCTAGAATGCTGACATTCACTGATGGAAGGTTACTGGGTCTGGTGACATCCCCTCAAATGAGGATGGGGTATGGTGGAAAGAAAAAATATATAATGACTCTTTTTTTTTTTTTTTAAAGTGAGCTTTCTGTGTCATTTTCTCACCAGTTCTGAAGAGCACACACCTATCTTGGGTGGATTTTACCATATGGTGTGTAACCATGGACAAATATGGGCCCAGGAACAAAAACTGCAATGGGACCCTGAATTGAATAATTTAATCAACCACCACTGCAGTGATTTGCAAGCCTTTGTGGGAGCACAGGCCCTGGACCACTTATTCAGTGAAGCATATTTATCATCTTAATTGAAATTTTTCTCATTTCTTAAACAATATGACAAAATCACCTGAGAGACCTGCAGAGATCTCTAGAGCTTGCTTTCTTTTTTTTTTTTTTAATGCTCATTCCTCAATGGGCATTAGTTTTCCAAATAAATTCAAGACATTCACACCCAACTAAAAAGATTTAAGTGACGTAACTGGTGACTTAAGTTACAGCACTGTACATATAAGAAGGCAACACATATATGTGTGTGCACGCACACACATATATGCACATACGCACACATAAGTGCACACTGAGCAAGTGAAACCTGAACCTATACACTGAGGTATCAGCACCACCGAGCGGGAGTTTCTTTCTCCTTTCTAGATCTCCTTTTTCCTAAACACCAAGCAAGACAACGGCAAGCTGGAGAAAATCAATGTACCGAAAGGGAAGGAGAGTGAGAAGAGTTGGGCATCTGTGAGGAGGATTTGCTCTGCAGATGGAGCAACAGGTAAGGGGCTAGGAAGCAGCCAGTGCTGCACAGCTGCCTGCAGACAGGAGGGGGCAGAAATATCAGGTGCTGCTCTGCATATCTGCACTTGGCAGGTGTATTCATTAAAAGTAATTATGCCTTTTATCAGGTCAGGCAGTCATTTTATTTTGGCACTTTAGTGTGCTAGAGTTTCGTTCACTTATCAAATATTTATTTAAGAAAACCTCACAGCATATGCGGGTTTTACATGAATTATCAGCAAAGTAATTCATTTGTGAGGCTTATTCCTTCATCAGGCATGTATTTAAATGGGCTTTGGTATAGTCAGTTAAATGTCTGTAATAGTATATTCCATTTCTACTTTAATTTTCACAGTGCAGCTGAAAGGAAAAGCAGTCATCACTGTTTCCTCATGACGTCCCTTTAATTTAAACTACCAGCTCTAAACTTCCACTCCCTTGCCAGCCCCTGAAAAACTACCTGAGCTCCCTCAAAGAGGCTGCTTAGGAGAGGAGCTGAGAACAAGGTGGGAGGGAAAGCAAAGGCATTCTTTCCATGGAAGGACCCAGGAACAACACTCCACATCCTTTAGTTTTACTAAGTGTAAAAGGATGTCGTCCTAAGCAAAGTGCCTCTTGTGGGGTGCTTCCACTGTAGGCTTGAACTACATTCCCTGATTAAAAGAGGGTCTCGTTGGCAAGGGGAGGGCTCTGCAAAGTGTGCAGAAGTCTTGGAGTGACAGTTCTTGTGTGGCAGCACCCTGAGCACTTTTGGAAGGCACACAGGTCCCTCTACCAGGCAAGGAGTTGAGGCAACTGACTTTCTGTGCCAGGGAAAAGACCAGGCACCCAGTGAGGCAGCCCCTGGGGATGCTGTCACAGGGACCAGGCAGCCCAGCTCATTCTTCAGAGACAGTCTCTGAAGCACACAGAAATGAGTGCTTTAAACAAAGGCAGCTCTGCCCACTGCCTCCCTAAAGTCAGGTGTATCCTTACACAAACCGTTCAGCCCTGGTGCAAGCACTGGCAGGGACCCTCAGGACCCGAAACAGCTCTTCTGAAGCACCAACAGGAGGTTATTTTTTAAATAAAAAAGCAGTCTGCTTAAACAAGCACGAAGACTTCTACCTCTAAGTACATTTTAAGTTGCAACATATTGTTTCAACTACTACAGCATCCCCTTCAAGCCCATGGGTCTTTTTAAAAATGTACAAGTAATTTTCATACACATTTTATCAACTTCTAAATGATCATATTAACATTTAATTAAAAAAAAAGGAAAACAATCAACCATCAAGCACTTTATTGTATCTAGGATGTAGGCTACAGCCTCTGTTCTGAGAACTAGCTGTGGCTTTTCCAATAAAAATAATTATCTGCTCTTTTCTGACAGAGGGATTTTTCTCATGGAAGTGAAGAGTACTTGGAAGCAGGCAATGTAACAGTACTGCTTCTGAAGGTGGCTAACCCACGCTACATCAGCAGATCTCACCCTTCTGTAGCTTGAACAGACACAGTTACAATGAAAGACAGTAACGCTGGGCAGGGGGGACGAGGGGGATGGACAACATTCGGGGTCTCTTCCTGGATCCTCTCCACAAAACTCTGAAAATGCTCTGCAAATCTCAAGCATTAGTAATTCTGGGGAAGTTGTTAAAGCATGACTGTGGATATGTGGAGGAAGAAAGTATCCATGTGTTTACTGGCACAATTATTTCAGTGGAATCTAAGTATCAAACAGGTTGTTCTTACCTTAAAAATATTTTAAAATTCCCTCTCATTTGAATATTCATGCAAAAAATGCCAAATACTCTATTTATTTTCAAAGTAAGTTGTATGGCACAACACTAGAGTTCAGTTCTCATCTGATTATGGATGATATTAGAGTTTAGATTAGAAGTCTAATTTTTAGACAGCTTATATATCAGGCAAGGTGAGACTCACCCTGGTCTTTACTTCTTCATTTGTTTCAGCCTCTTCATTTTTGGACTCTGAGACTATTCAGAATTAGAAAATTGAGGCAAGACATTTACAGCACTGTATAATGAAAAGCCATCCCTATGGATGTCTTTTTTTTATGTCTCTTTTAGCATGTCAGAGGAAACCCTTTAGTGCAGATTTGACCAGTGACAATACCTGCTTTTACTCCATGAAACACTGGACATACAATTAAACCCTTTTTTACTATGACTGCCAATACCATTCTCTTAACATGTATTTTACCAGTCACTTTCATAATCACTGATCCATAATGAGCTTTGTTGCTTTGTTGGAAACATTACAATTGGGTCAATTTTGGAGTTAAACCCAACAAATGGGTTTGTCTTCAGCAATTCTTAGAAATTTCTTAGAAATTAAACAAGACTTGCATATCTTCTTTACCTTTTTTTTTTAATTGATTTTTTGTAGCTTCAAACCAAAAAAATAGCACAATTTCTAGCCCAACAGATGGACTTCCATGAAGAAGTCTCAATTCCTGTGCTGTCCAAAAGAGTGTACCAAAATAACTGAGTTACAAACAATCACTAATGCTGTATTATCTTACAAGAGGCAACATGTGCATGACACAGAAAATAAGTCTTAGTTACTAATATGTGGCCAATTCTTGTCAACTAAAGGAAAAACTATGTCAGGCCTTACCAGTGTGGCTTCGTTTGTGAACCATGAGCACATTGGGACCGATGCAAATTATCCCACAGATATCACATTTTAGCTTTCCGTTAGGAAGTCGAATGCCTCCAACTCCTGACATAGCCTTGCTGCCTGGGCCATTGTGTGAGCCATTCATTTTCTCTCCTGTAGCATCAAGCATTCGTAAATCCTCTGCACATTCTTCCCCATTCATTTCACAGGCACGCCCATTCTCTTCATCACTATGAGTCTCTATTTTAATATTACCAGCTGAAAAAAAACAATACAGGATGCCACTCAGTTTTGTTACAGAACAAATATTGTGGCAAATAAACAATCATATGAAAGGAGTTAACTTCTAAACAGCATGTACAATATATCTGAACAACGAAAGCTATGAACACAACTAAAATTCTATGGGCAATGTGATGAGTTTGTAACACATGTAGCAATGAACAGTGAATATCAGTAAAACAAATACGAGGCATCCAGGTAGCTGGGAACCCAAACAACATTACAAGTTCATCTCTAGGTCACTTTGAGATTTTTGCATTTATAGATTTCATTTTGACAATTCAGGCTAACTGGAATAAAACTTAAAATGAATCCACTTCACAGGGGTTTGTCAGAAACAATTGTGAAAGTAAGTAATTGAAGACAATGGATGAAAATGAACAGAAAATGCAACATTTTCCGCTTGGTGGGAAGATCCCAAGTGTTGTACTGAATCCAAATATTTGGAATTCTATGGGGTAAGCAAGGACAATGGGAAAGCAAAGAGTACAAACACTGATAAAGAAACCAGGGCAGAGAAGGATGGAAGGAAGAATTTAAGAGCAAGAACTAGCACTGCAGGAAATTAGGAGTGACAATGGTGTTTTAGGACAGAAGGATTAGGATTGATGAGTAATAGGAGAGGATTTCCACAGCCATGAGCTACTATTAATAACCAGTCAAATCAACAAAGGTGGGCGGGGGAACTGTTATGACTTTATTGGATAAATCCTTTGTGTTATAATCCCGTAAGTGACAGTTGCTTGCAGCCAGAAGAAGAATTCGGGTGTGAATTTGTCATAGCCTCACGTGGTAACACAGAGGCTATGAACATAGCAAACTTTAAGGAAAAGGGCCAAGATTCAGACTAGTTCATGGTAATATTCATTGGTCTTCTCTCCACAGGACAGTATGATGTTTTGTGTAGGAAAAAAAGCAATCTTTGCTGTTAATTCTGTTTTTTTCTGATCTAGTAATTTTGGTGAAAAAATACTTTTTCATTAGGCTGAAAAAGGTAATTTCATTGGCCAAAGTCTTACTTTCCATACCGCAGAAAACCTCTTCCTTCACCCCATCCCACACCAAAGCTGGTCTGTTTTATCCAATAAAGTTCAGGTCTTTTCCTTCCATGGAATGGCAGTTTCATGGTAACCTCATTCAAAAGTGGTGGTGTAATAATAATAATAAGCTATGGGCAATAGTTACCTCAGGGCATTAAAGACCCTGATATTCCTTTGAAAGGGACAGGTTTGACAAATTCTTCTCTGATACATCCTGCAACCTCCCACGTGTCCCAGAAGGACTGCGTGGATGTGACTGACAAGAGTACCTAACTCAAAATCTTACTGGTAAACAGAAGCCTAAAGGTGTTCACATTTCTGAATAGTGTTTGACTGATACCTTTTAAAAGGTCTACCAATCTAGGCATTTTAATGATTTTTCAGACACTGCATTTTTCATAGAAATCATATGCAAGACAGAATAAGCGCATATCATAATAAGCAGTTTTCCCTTAAAACATATGTCCTAAAAAGGGGAATAATGTAGCCATATGGAAAAAAAAAATCAATGACCAAACAACGATTTACAAAGATGGCATAACTGGCTAAAGAGAAGTGATTCTGCAAATTTAGTGGACTACAACCCCATATTGCTGTTTTCACCATGGCAAACAGAAGCAAAAGAATTATTTGGCTTGAGCATATTACAGGATTTTCCATAATTTACACACCAATTTTTCCCTTTTAATAATAATAAATAAATAATATACTGTAATAATAACAATTAATAAATACACATACTTATGCAAAACAATTATAAGCTCCTTGCCTGCCAGGGATTTGGAGAAGGTGGCTTTTGAAGCAGATTTTCTATTAAGTTAAAACAAAATACATGTGAACAAAGCCAAAAGATCAGACTACTTAAGCTCTTTGGTAGTACATGCAGTACATTATTCAGAAGTGAAATGACACAAACAAAAGTCATAAAAATAGGAACTAGATGGAAATGCTCTGTAGTGAGCTGAGTTTGCAGTATACTTACTGGAAAAAGATTTGGGAATTATTGCATGAAAGTCCCTAAAGCCTTCCGCCCCGTATGCAGCTGCAATAAAGAAGGCAAACAAGAGGCTGGTTTGTGGTACTGCTAGCAGTAAATATAAAAGAAGATGGCATTATTGCTATCAGATAAATACCTAGGAGAAAGACAGAACTACCATCACAGAAGCAACACAAGTAGTTTAGGATGAAGGAGGAACAGCAGCAGGACAGCTGGCAGGGGGAATCCTGACTTGTCTAGAACAATTCCCATTTGTGAAAATGCCCTTTTCTTCCAAAGCAGCCAACAAGTTTTATCATGTTTTCTGAATTCATGTCTCTTGGGTATTCCCCTGGCTAGCACATTAATTCCTGCTGAAGTCAAGAGAAACTTTTGCTAACGTGTCTCAAAAGGGTCAATGCAGGTCCCCACAGTGCAGCTTCCTCAGAATTTATGTTTTGCCAATATGCTCTTTCTTATACATTCTTGTTTCTAGTCTCTGTTATTATAAAAAGTGAAACTGAATTATTTTCTTCTCACGCCTGCTGGTCTTATGCAATGGAAGAAGAGGGGGTGCAATTTTACATATATATACTTTTGTGTATATTGGCATACTTTTTGTTTGTATTTATAAGGTTTGTCCTCACAATGTATCTACAAAAAAAGTAGTTACACAAATATACTATACCCTGCATATTATGAGCAGCCACATACAAATTAACATGCCATTGGACACACTGATGCAGGTAATGATGGAGTTCATTACTTGGTATAAGCAATGATAGGGATATTGATCCAGTCAATCTTCACTAAAGCTCTCTGCAGCTGTGCCCCTGGACTGCTGCAGCCCTACTGCTCAATGAATGTCCCCACGCAGACTAGGCTGGATACCCAGGATGCCTTACAAGCACATCCATTTGGCAGTGCAGCTCATGGCAGGAGCTCAGTTCAGGTGCAGAGTTCACTTTGCCAGTGAGAGCTGATGGACAGTGAGGCCACCCAACACACCCTGAGTCCCCACAGAAATTTTACAGGTCTAATTAACAAACAAAATATCTCCACGTTCAAACTTAACACTTCTTGCAAACATGTCTGCTATATGAAAACTAGTGAAGTGAGCCCCACTGATGCAGGAGACACAACAGGAGAGAGAAATAATTTCAATAAAAATAATAAGGACTTTTATTAAATCTGAATAAGAAATGGGAATGCAGAGTATACTTTCTTTTTATTTTTTTTCCCTAGGGACTTATACTGGAAATAACAGTGTTTTCTACTTCTTTTGTGATAAAGATTCCTGTCTCTCTCCTGCCACAGTGGGGAGGTACAAAGATGTGATACATACCCATGAATCATATTTTTCAGATGCACTGATCAAGAACATACTCAGCATTTGTACAGGTTTCTCAGTTACTCAATACAGTCTTTGTAGAAATAATTTATTTGCACATCTGCATCTATATACACACATGAAGACATTACTTAGTTCTATAACAAATCATGGTAATAATTTCTCATTGGCTCTTCTAACACCATTAAGAAATTACTCATTAATTAATTTACTTCAATTTGGTTGGAGGTGATCTTAAAAGGCTCTGGATTTTACTCCCTTTATACACATTATTGCAATTCAGGGGAGTTTAACACAAACCCACTTTTCTGTGCAAGGAGTGTGGAGTGCTTTGGTGTCGCTGAACTGACAGCTCTGTCCCACTGCCTTTTCACCTATCTAGATTGTGGAGAAGTACCCAAAAGCAGGATACTCTTATGCTCTATGATGTTTACTGGAAACTTCACTCAGGATTTTCTGAAGAGCATTTGAAATTTATGTTAAAAAGACTGGTCTACATTCTATGGCTAAAGTTGGTTTATTCAAGTCTTAGAAAAAAAAAGTGATATGTCAAAGTGGGGGGGGGGGGGGGGGGAGATGATATAATTTATCACTGAAGAGCAGCGTAGCTGGCTTCGCCCCAGACTCGGGCTAGGACAATCAGGAAGGCAGGATGATATGAGAGGAGACAGAGTCACACTTCCCCGGAAAGAGCTGAGCAATGTGAAGAGGGAAGGGAGGTGTTTTGCAATGAGTGAAAGAGTAAGTAGTGAGGAGAAAGGAGAAACCAAACAGACCTCCTGGAAAACTGGACGTAGAGGGTGGCTTTCGAAGGACAGAGAAATAGGCAGCTGGAAAAAAGAGGCATGTGAAGAATTAGTAATTTGTTCTCAATCTGTTGCCAATTTACCTTCTCTTCTAGCTGTGGGACTCCCTTTCAGATGTGAAATCCTTTCAGTTTTGTGAGACTTTTGCACCAGCATAGGTCTAAGTACCTGGGTAAATTCCATTTGGAAGGGGACATTCACCTCCCAAGTCATATTCTTCTTCAGTGGGATTTTTAAAGAGAAAAAAGCATGAGACTTGGCTATCAAAGAAATTTAGAGAGTAACAGAGAAAAAGAAATCACACTGAAGTTTCTGTGGCATTTAAACAATAGAGAGTTCCCTTACTCCCTTTTATTTGTAGTGGGGTTTGACCCTTTATCCTAGTAGGTACTTAACTGTATCTTGTGGCATATATACCTGCCTTTAAGAACTTATCCTTTAGCCTTCCTTTTAAAATAACCCAGATAACCAAATTTTGGCTCCATGCAATGTCTTGCTTGTACTTTGTAGCCAACAGCAGAGAAAGATCTCTCTTCAAGTTGCTGCAAATAGTTTGGGTGCATGTAATTTTTTGTTTGAATGGCCCACTTGACAAGCCAGAAGTATTTTGTTGATGTTAGTTGATGTTTGTTTAAATGGTAGCTTTAAAGTCCGACAAGAGTTCTCATGAAGGCACTTTAACTATTCAAGCAGCAATCATACCTGACTGATATGGACAGTACATTATGACTGTTACAGTGAGAAAAAACTTTTAGCACCATCTTTCTAACAAATGATAGAAAATGTTGCTAAAAAGGCAGAATAAGATGAAAAAAAGCTTATCAGGTCAAAATAAATCACCTCAGCATATTAACATGTGTCAACAAACGCAGAGAGGATCTCTTCTTGTTTACATAGGTACAAAACTCAGAAAACAGAATATTGCCAGCAATTCCACTTGTAATTTCTGATATAAGAAGACATTACCAGCTATTCGGGTTTGTTACAGTGTACCTAAAATCTTGCACTTGGCTATGGACCTGCAATTCAAACCCTGCCCCTTCCTTTTTACATCGTGGTCATTTACTGTGGTATCAGCTCTGTTTTCAACACCCAAGAGCGCTGCAGTTGGAGGATGCCATTCCCAGAAATGCAAGTTGTTTGTCCACAGAATACTTAAGGAGTCATTATTCACCAGTCTGACTTGACAACAACAAACCCAATTCTTTAACTTAAATTATGTTTCCATTAATAGTATCTTTCCCTTATGAGCTTCTGAAGGGAGATGAAGAATCATGTGGATGTGAAAAAGGACAACAAAAAGTCTGGGTAGAGGAACCATAATTAGTTATGCAGTGGCTTCAGCCTTTTCCAGTATAATTCAAAAGACACAACAGAACGTAGATGGGACTGATCAAACTAACTGGTTTGAGAAAAAGCAGACATTGAGGTGCTCTTAAAATTACTTTTTCTGCTTTCTCCTTTCTACAAATAGCACTGCATTGCCCTATTAATCAAGCATTTGTGGTGCCTCTCTGTGTAAAATGCTGAAAGATAAAGACTTTTCAAAGGGTAACAAAAATAACAGGAAGAAGAGTAGTAACGGGAACTGCTGGGACACACCTGCAGGTAGAGCAGACTGGTGCTGACGGATAAGGAGATCCTCCCTGCAGGGTCCACGCTGCTTCCTTTGACTCCAAGTGCCAATCAGGTCTTGGCAGCCTATTTCTTCCCTACTCTAATTTTGGCTTTCAATCAAATGTATATTATTCCAGAAACATGGGCGTGCACAGATAAGCTATCTCCCATGGGACAACTGGTGTGAGGAGCTCCACCCATGCCATCACCCCTGACTGCTATTTCTCCCTGCTGCTGGCTGTGGGGAGGTGTCCACCCCGTGTGCCAGCACCACAGCCCATCAGCATGCACAGCTCGTTCTCAGCAGCAAGGAGCAGGGAACTGTGCTTCACTGCATTGCAAAGCTCATCAACACCTTTTTTCCAGGGGCTGAAATGAGATCGAACTGTTCAGAATGGAAACAAGTGAACAAAACAAACAACAGAGTATGTTCTCTCTAGGTACAAAAAGTGACTTCTGCTTCATTGTGCAGACTCCCAGTAACCTCCCATTAGTTACCTGCAGGAATCCTCTAAAGCACCAGTAAAGACAGACAGAAAGACAGATTCAAAGACAGATTCAAGTAATGCCCTCAAACATACACTTGAAGCTAGGTGCCTTTTATATATCTTTCTAAATTTGTGTTTCAGCAGGAAACGATTTGTAACCAAGACAAGGGGCTGATCTAGTTCATATTTCTTGTCTTTGATGTGCTACTTGCTGGTACATTTTGTACTGGATCCAAGTGGTTTTTCCCAAGGACTGATAACTGCTTGGTTGCTTGATGTTCAACATCTGAACTACAAGTAAAACTAAGTTTTAAAGGCAAGAGAAAGAGCATTATCAAGAAACGCCATGTTAAACCTGTTTTTCAAGTTCCACATGTACGTGTAACCCATGGTTCCTCTACTGGAAGTTCTCTATATCTTTTACTGGTTGCATGATGGAGAAGCTTAGGGAACTGCTGCAGACTTGCTGGTAACAGGCTTTATTGACACTTTTCTACTTTGAGAAGTAAGCTGGGAAGATTTTCACACTGGAGAGAAAAATTTGCTGACAAATGATGGTAAGAACAACAATTCTCATCCTTACAGTCTTTGTCTATTCTGCTTCTATCAGATTTTTTTAACATGGGCATTAAAGGATGAGGAAGTAGCAGAAGGGCCTTTAGTATGAAATTTTTAAAAAGCAAAGTAACCTTAAGTAACAAGGGAAAACACTGAGGTAAAAACACTACCATATATGAAAACATTCTCAGCTCACACAGGTATATCTGTGTGAATACTCTTGCTTTACATGCTGAGACTGCATTC